ACCTATCAAAGATACTTTGCTGCTCCAATTTCTATTCAAATGGAACACCTTTCTCTAATATGTTTATCGATGAGGTAGTAATCTATGAAAATTACCAAATAAAACGGCAATAATATCCAACAAGGCTTAAGAATGAGTTGACTTCAAAAGAATCCTTAGAAATTGGCCAATCCTTTTTTTACTTTCACCTTATCTTGCTCCATACATACACCTTCAAAAGACACGACATGCCCCAAAAAGGTGACTTTCGACTTCCAAAATTTATATTTTGATTACTTGCAATAGAAGCGACTATCTTGTAGTTGGCATAGTACTTCTCATAGATATTGTTTACAATCTACAGGGATTTTATTATATACAAGGATATCATCAATGAAGACAACTACATACTTATCTAAAAGGTCCCAAAACAATCTATTTATATAACTCATGAAAGAGATTGGAGCATTGGTGAGGCCAAAAGATAAAATTAACTATTTGAAATGTCCATGGCACGTATAAAATGCTATCTTTTTTATATCCTCTCTTACAATAGGTATTTGCCAATAGCCACTCCAAAGATCCAATTTACTAAAGATGATGGCACCTTGAAGTTAATCAAGAAGATCATCCATGCATAAAAGTGCATATGCATTCTTAACAATCTGCTTATTGAAGCCTCAATAGTCAATGCAAAGCCGAAGTCCACCATCTTTCTTAGGTATAAAGAATACAAGTGCCCCCCATGGTGATATGCTTTCTTGAATGAGGCCTTTCTCCAAGAGTTTGTTTAATGTCTTTTACAACTTTTTAAGTGCTTTTGGTATTAGGCAATAAAATTGGACAACTTATTGGTTTGGCTTCAAACAATAGTTTTATTTGAAAGAGGGCACTTTAATTACGAAGCACACCGCTAGGTAGGTCGGTTGGAAAGATGTCTTGATATTCTTGTATGAATTAATCTGCTTATTCTATTCCTTTGGCTATCTTTCCTACCATTGATGTAAGATTTGGAACAACTATATATACTTTTTACGTGTTTCATTCAATACTTCCTCCTTTGATTTCCTTAATTTTAATTCCAAGCCAATTGGTAATTTCAATTAAGATACAATTTTTTCTAGAGCCACAATCTACAAGCACTCCACATCATTGTTCTCTTAGTAGTCTCGTTAGATGCACAAGCCAACACTTTTTATAGTTATCTAATGCCATGCCATTTGTCTTTGAGAGATAATAGCTATCTCCAATACTAGTCTTCAGTGCTTTTACTAGGGAGCTCTATTTTCTTGCTCTATCTCATTATCGACTTGGTGAATTTTGAGACTATAAATCTGCCTTATTTTGTTAGTGCTTGAATTTTGACATTTTGCATAACCTTCAGTCTGATGGCTTGGCTCCCAAGAATAAAAACATAATCCCTTTTGCATCAATATTTGTCATCTTTGTGGTGTCAATGATCCTTGTAGGACATCAATCTCCATTGGCATTGATTGTTGTGCCATAATATTAGATAGATGTATAGGACTTTATGCTATAGATTTTGTTCTACAAATTTTTGAAATCTATACTATCGACCATCTTTGCAATCCGAATTATTTCTTCAAATGTTTGTCGATCCCTTAGATCCACCTCTTGCTAGAACCTAGATTTCAAACCTTGTAGGAATCGATCCATCATTTGTACCTCCAATACATTATCAATTTGGATACATAGGGACTTGAATCAGGAGACATAATCTTGTACCAATGTAGATTGTGTAAGATTTTTCAACTAATCACATATTATCTTCTCTGCATTGATGAGTCAAAATTGATTTCTAAACTCGGTCTCAAACTCCTCTCAATCACAAAATCCACCTTGAATTCTATAACTTTGAATTAAATGTCGCCACCAAATGGCTGCTGCATCTTTCAAATAGTTGGTTACATACATAATTCTTTCAATGGTATTTGCCCTAGATAGTTGGAGGTATTGCCACATGTTAAAGAGCCATTCACATACATCTTCTTGTCTTGAAGTCCTAGAGTATGTACTAGGCTTATTTAATTTCAGCCTAGCAGATGTCGACTCTCTTGTCCTCAAGACTTCTATTTATCCTTGCAAAGTAGCTATCTAGCCTAATGGGTGTTATATTTGAGCCTCCATCTCATATTGCTTTGCCATATCTCAATACAATAATTTCTCCATTAGATTCTACTATTGTAATGTCTTTTCACTTTCTAGTTGACTTTTTAAGAGTAGCTCGTGATAGCCTCAAGATGGTATCTAGTGTGACCACAACAACTGACCTTAGACTAGATGATGACTATCAACACACTACTAAAGAACAGTCTAACACTTGCTTTGATACCAATGAAACAGGACCGATCTATCTCAAGTATCTCAGACCCTTTTAATCCACAACAATATAAAACCTCATCACAAGGTAGGACTAATTAGACGAGAACAAAACTAAACAAAATAGAATACAGAAGACAAAACTCAATTATCAGAATTAGAACGGAACGAAACAAAACAGGAAGATTTAAAATCCAATCGTATTAAGAAAAAAGGTCTGAAGGCATACTTGATCAAATGTCCCAAACGGCCATAGTCAATCCTATTTATTCTTTATTCTACCACCTTAGACTTTCTAGAATGTTCCTAGATGATGGATCCCACTATAATAACCACCTAAAATTCCTTATAGAAGGCTCTATGGTGGGCCTCACCTAATTAACAGCCCTAAATCTTTTTTAGAAGGTTCTATGGTGGACTCCACTTAGATAACCGCCCCAAGACTTGGAATTCAATTTAACTTTTTGGAATTCAATTTATTAAAAATTCTTGGAATTCAATTTATTAAAAAAAAATTAGCACTCTTAACCTCCTTACAAGACTAAATATTAATTTTGACTATAATATCTACTAAAAGTAAGAAAAACTATTCTACAAATTTATATGATGCAAAAATGCAGCTAATATTACACTTAAATCATAAAGAATACAAATGTTATTGAATTCTACAAATTAGGAAGCATATAAGATATGACTTCTATTATTATAAGTTTAAATAATATTAGAACAATGCTCCTTTAGAAGTATTATAAAAAATTAAAAAGTATGAAGACATAAATGTTAAATTATAATTATTAAATTTCATAGTTACTCAGCATATATATATATATATATATATATATATACCTATATTATAGTATTTGATACACAATATGTAATTAATTTGGTTTCTCATATACAGTGTTGCATGGAATTTGAGGGCGAGATTTCAGGGTAAATTTTTTTTAAGTATTTAATTGAATTGGGTAGATATTTGATAATAAAATAATTTGAAGTTATTATCATTAAAGAATATGCATACTATAATCGGCTCTCCAATTGATGTTGAGCAGCTGGCAAGTATCACAACCCCAATCAAACTAGAGTAGATCTAAATTTCTTTAATTCAATTTTAGCACATTGTAAAACTCAATATTTTCGGAGTGTGAATTTGCTTGCTCAAATGTTAGCTGTGAGATTTGATGCATGTCCAAGATTCTAAGATAATTCTACTGCACAAGAGGATACTCTTATTCTAAAATACAACAGTCTTATGCACTCTGGTAAGCAGCGTTTACAGTAGTCAAAAGCGATGACTGTAAGGAAGTATATTCGCCTCATCATTACTTCATGCATGAGCTTGGAAGTATCGATTGCAACCATTGATTTCTTACATCACGTTGCACATTCATAGAATAAAATTATATGAAATGCAGGGACGAAAAAGGAACAAAAACACTTCTAAGTTTCAAAGAGCATATCACAATTCACATGGTTTAAAATAGTAATAATAATAATAACAATAATAACAATAAAAGCAGTGTTTATTTGTGAAAATAGTCATGTTACAGAATAATCTCGAAAAGTATCATTAAAGATAATATCAGAGAGTCTAGACAACCTTCAAGATACATGTGTGAAGATACAAAATACATTAAGATAATATATATATATATATATATATATATATATATATATATATATATATAATAAAAAAAAAAAACTAGGGAACTAGAACCAAATTAGAGGTATTTTGTTCAACTTAGAAAAGAGATTCTTGAAACATGTAACTTGACATGTAGTTTAAGTTAGATTTAATTTCCATGAATGATAGGCTAGAAGATATCTAAACTGGAAGTAAGATAAAAAATATATATATATCTACACAATATCACTTATAACCTACTTAATAAATGAGTAATTTTTAATCCTGGACTTGCACCTATGCTGCATCTATTAAGAAAGCACCATAATCTAAACTGAAAACCAACGTCAATGGTGAGATAATCCAGAAAAGGTTAAAGATAACTCACGATCTTCTTACTCCATAACTACTTTAAATTGAGGTCCTAGTTGACAGGTATAAATAATTGTACAAAACCTGAACAAATCTTCTACTTTAGAAAGACACTAACTAAGTGAGACTAAACGTCCTCAGTGAATCAAAACAAAAACAAAAAAACAAAAAAAAATCACAAAATATAAATAACAAATGTAGATCACCCAACGTAACCTTTGAGGAAGTTAAACAATCTCCCAAACAATCACTAGTATCGACAACATCAATTGAATTTCACTTTCTTATAAAGCACGTTTACACTCCTGCAGAACTCCCATACTTTTAATCAAGAGTTCATTGGATATGTAGGAAAAAGAACGAAAGACTAAACACAGCGCACCATGACTTTAAAAAAACTGACCAGCAATCATAACAGTAAACAAACAAACCAGGCACCAGCACAAAACTAAAACAATCGACATATATGAAAAGTACTCTCACAAAAAGAACCCAACACTCCGGTACAAAACCAAAAATCCGAGCAGTGACAAGATACATACAACTGTGATTGACAAATGCAGCAACCACCAATAACAAATGCAAAGTAGAACCACGAGATTGTACAAGTTTCAGACAACAACCAGCACCAAGGTCACCATGTTGCACAACGACAAAAAAACAAAACAAGACGAAAAAAAACAAAGAACGAAATAAAACAAGACAGAAGAATAGAAAAGACTAGAGTACATTCCCTCAACAAACGAAGATCTGTGTGCGCCACCTTGACTATCAATACATTCTCACTACACTTACGTGCTTCCCGATCATTGTGGGATCCCATTCCCTACTACCAGGGCCGTAATCTAGTCTCAACACAAGCCCATCAACCAGCCACGAAGAGCTTTCTGTAGGTCTCTGTCCCTGAGACTACAACGACATTAAGAATTATTTGCATCCTGGCGACCCAGCGCGCTCCTAAAAGAATTAAAAATACCCAGTTCCATCTCCATTTCCCGTCTTAACATAGCTGGATAAAAGAGTTCGACCATCAGATCCGAGAACATCACTAGCCGGAGCAACCATCATTACTACCCTCACCTGCCACGGCATCTCCTGATGCAGACAGCACAGTCTTCGTGAAAGAATAACACCCTTCTGTCCCAAGTGCTCACCACTTATCTCAGAAGTTCCCTCGTCGACTGCGGTGCCCTAGTCCAACTCCGGGTGCGGCTCCGGGTGTCCGTCTCCCCCACTCCTTCGGCTTCCGGAACCCTGATTTCCAGCTCCATCGTCCCCTGCCCCAGACGACCCTGGTGCAGGCGCTGGGGCAGATGAGTGTGGAGACGACCGCAACCACGGCAGGTAGAAGGAGAATCGCCTCCCGATACCTCCACCACTCGCAGGAGCTGGCGCCGGTGCTGCTGTTGCTGCTGGAGCGCTGCTCGCCTGAGTGACGCTACTGGATCCATTTGTCGGTGCTGCGTCTCGGCTGCCGCCGCTCGACGACTCCACAGTCGGGAACCTGAAAGCCGCTGGTGCACCCCAGAAGGTGAACCCGCCAGACCCGCCCCCTCCGTTGCCCTCCGGATTTGTGCTAGCAGCTGTGCTCGCAGCCGGTATTGAATTCGAGTGGCTCTGGTTGTAGCTATGGTCGTCCGTCGGCATCTCGTACCGACATACAGGGCATGAATTGTGCTGCGCCAGCCACGGCAGTATGCAATCCGCATGATACATGTGCTTGCACGGCATCTGCCGCACCAACGCCCCCAGCTCAAACTCGTCCTTGCACACAGCGCACTGCATGGCATCTGTCCCCAGATGCTCCTGCGAAATCTGGATCGTCGGCATGGCCTCCACAGCGCTTTTCGACGCCGGAGGCGCCCCGTGCCTACTGGGGTCGTTCTCTGCGAGCTGCTGTATCAACTGATCCAGTCCCGGTCCCAGAAAGTAGTCCCCGAAATTCCCAGGCAGTCTCCGAGGATTCCCTGTCCCATTGTCAAAAAATACATCCACGTTGCCACCTCCGCCCAGAAAATTATGCATCTGCCCTTGCAATCTCACCAACGGACTGAAACCCCCTGGAACGTCCTCCATAACTCCACTCCGCCCCCTTGAGTGCGTCCCATAACCGCTTGTGTCCACGTCGCTGGAATCCTGCCCTCCCTGAGGAGGCTGGATTTGCTGCAGCACCGCCGACATCGCCTCCAGCACCTGAAGCACCGCGGGGTGCTCAACCCGCACAGGAAACCGTGTCCCTCGAGGATCCGTCTGATGGTACCGCCGGAATCCACCCATCGGCCCACCTATCCCCTCCGCGCGCTCCCCCGAATCCACATCGCGACCTCCGAATCCGAACGCCTGGTCACCGCCGAACCCCATAAAATGACTCCTCCCACCGCCTCCGCCATGTTCGATCTCCTCCAGAAAACCGTCGTTGCAAGACGGGCAAATCAACTCATCCCTGCTTGTTGGCCTCACGGTCCGGTTGCACTGGTGACACCAATATGTGTTACCCAAAGACGTCATCTGATCGCTCCCTCCTGGATGGAAAGATCGCCCTTCCGCCTAATCACACCCGAGGTCAGTTCCAAGCACCGAACACCATCACCACCACCCCGCTGCCATTACCAATCCGCTAATCCGCAAACCTAACCACCTCTATGTTCCGCATTTCACCCACACCCCGACCCGACACCTCTCCCACATACCAACCCTGTAACCATAATGCCCTCACTCACCTGAATTCCACGCCAAGCCACGCCACCAGCAAGTCAGTCCCACAACGCACCGCCCTAGCGCGGACCGATCGCAACGACAACACCAGCCCCCCTCCTCAATCGCGACGAAGCCAACTTCCGGCTCCCTCCCTGTGTTCAACGCCGGAGCGCACGCAGAGTCTCTTGTCACATGCTGATAAAGAAATCAATCCCTACGACCACCCACAATTCCCCTTCCCCTCTCCAGCCCTAACTCACCGCCTGCCATCAACAACTACACCCTGCTGTGCTGCAACCTCACACGTTGCCTCCCTCTCTCGCCCTCTCTCTCTCCCTCCCTTTGCGTCGACCCCACACTCACAACCCCGACACCATCACCACCAGCCCCACTTCTCCACTTCCTCTTCCTCTTCCTCCTCCGGAAGAGATCAGAACCTCCCCGATTCCTTCCTTCCTTCCCTTCCGCGACGTCGGGTCGCAGTAGTCTGCCTGGAAGCTTTAAGGTGACGACAGCGATGGCGAGCAGTAAAAGCTTCTCACTTCGTAGAAGAGGCATTGCCCTAGACCAGGTAGCAGCACCACAAAGCCGAATGAACGACCCTTATTCCTCGTCCTCCTCTTCCTCGTCATCATCATCCACGATTCTTGCTTCCGTCGCCCATGCTCGTGAGACGGAACCGAGGCGCTTCCACTGATCTCCGAAGATTCCAGAACCCTTTCCCCATGCGCTCGTCGGCATTCGTCGTTGTCGTCGTCGCTCAAGCGAACGAACGGAACGCCAACCGGAGCCAGAGCGGGTTACAACTCCAACGATGCTTCCTGGTGACCGTTACTGCTCGTCCACTGCCGCGCACACCCTTCTTCCTTGAATCTCCGCTCCTGCCTCGCAGCTTCTGCTCACTTCTGGACCACGTCAGCACGGCCTCCACCACGTGTGCTCTTTTGGGCCAGTTCTGTAAGTTGCTGCCACTCGGGGTCTGATCCTCTCGCAGTTCCCATTAAGGAACGTCACCCTTTCACACACTCTCTCTTTGTACATGGAGGGTGTTTTACCTTACCACCCATCCAGAGACATTGGGTTTGTTTACAAACAGATGCACCCACTAATCCCCATGTTTAGAAAATCCTAATCTGAGTTAAGTGTGGTGTGATTTTGCCAATGCTGCTTGCGCACGCAGTGATGGGTGGGGTGGTTGGATGTGTGGGAGTTTGATTCCTCTCCACCACATCATGGGGGTGGAATATGGAAGATTTGGATAGTAAGTATGAGAGAATCAGCTTTCATGTGACATTTGTCAATGGTGACTTTGCAATTGGGTCATTGGTGACATGTGCCCACACACAGGACTTCGTGGAAATGGAAAGTGTTTTCATCTGTATATCAACCTGGAGTAGGGTTTCATGACCAGAAACCATTTTCAGATCTGAGCTCACTTTTGTGTCCTTGGTTGCTGGTAAGCTTCTCTGCCCCCTCCACATGGCTATTTCAGTGTGCTGGGGTGTAATAGAAGGGGAGAATACTGTGAAATTTTAGTGTTGTTTCAGAAGGTTGTATTTGGAACTATACATTTAGACTTCATTGCATGATGCACTGTGAAAGTTGAAGATTTAAATGCAACCAAAGACAAGGTTTGGCAAGGCCTGCAAAGTGTATCATTGATACTTACAGGCTGACTCTGAAACAAATCAAAAACATTATTATAATTGCACCAATATTGTTCAAGCTTCTTATACCATAAGATAAATGACGTTATAAATACATGTTTTCCTAATATGGATGATGTGAAATCCAACAGAAGTAAACATTTTATCTTAGTATACCATTTGGCTACAAGATTGGAAATGAATCTTCTGATTTTCAGTATTGTCTACTATATGTATCAGAGTTCTTTTTGTGTGATTCTGTAATATCTGATAATAAATATGATATGATATATAACAACTATTTGACAACCACAAAAAATCTGAATTTTGTCATAGGATAAAGAGAATTTGAAAATTTTCATCAGAAATTCTATACTAAATATTTGAAAAATCTTGTACATTGAGTGAAATTAAGGCATAAGTGCTTAAAATAATATTCCAAAGCAATTAGTCCAGTAGAGAAAAATAAACAAAGTGCCATTTAAATCTGATTACACCAAATCTTATTCATCAATAAAAACGTGAAAAAATATTTCATAATTATAACATCGATCAAAGTATTCTCAAGTTAGTTCTTTATCATTTAGCAATACTGTTATCATTTAAAAAACGAGAATTTTACAATCAAGCCTAAAAAATCTCTTAAATATTGGTTAAAGTTATATATTTTACTTGCATGATTTTTTTATTTTTTTTTTATTTTTTTTGCAGTAGGTATGAATCGACTGGGGTTTCATTTTCAAGAATAGTTAGGTGCACTATTGTACAGAAGGTTACTTTTTAAACTTTTTCAATCCTAAAAAGATCCAAACACATTCTGAATGATAATTCGAGAAAATACAACTCCCATGGCAAATAAAAGCATATCTAGAGTGCATAGCATTGTACCCTTAAATTATGATCTCAAACATATGGTTAATGTCTTGACAATATCAATGACCTAGAATACTCTAAATCAACATTCTATACATAAAAAATAAAAAAAAATTATAACATGAAGATGATTTGGTTATCCACATGATGTTACTTCTACAATATTACTTATAAACTAGCTAAGAAACAAGAAAATATTTTCATCCTTTTTACACTTTTTTATGCGTAAGGTCTTGACATACAGCAAGTGCTTCGGCCCAACTGGGGTCTCTTTCTGGAGTCCCATAATCAAATCACCGATAAAAACTACACTTAGAACCACATCCCAAACGAGATCTAATACGAGGTATCCTTATCCTCATCTCCGGGCGCTGATTGGCGGAACCAGGACTTGAGCGTCCAAATTCTCCAATTGGTACTGGTAAGAAGGATTTAGGGTTTTAGAATTTTCGCATCTTTGCGGTAGAGACTATCTCCCCTCTCTTCCGGAATCACCCCATATCCACTAATCTTTATCTTCGGGGGAGTCTTGGGCTTGATTCCTCTTGAAGCAGCGTCGAGTTGCGCACATTTTGACCCCCTTCGCGGTGCATTTGGTGCTGTGTGCGAGTCGTGGTGCTCAATTCCATGGATTCTGGAGTGCGGAGGAGCTCCAGAGGGTAGCAGAAGTGACAGAATATGTAGATGAGGTTGTCGCGGCGAGGTTGATTGAACGTTGAAGATGTTGTGGACGGTGGATTGTTGATACACTCGGATTGAGTTTTGGATCGAAGGCGGTGTGGGAGGGGTTGGAGTAAGTCTGTAGGGATGAGTGCGCTCTGCCCCTCTGTCACTGCCGCGTCGCTGTGGAGCTTCTGTGGGAATAGACGTAGGTCCAGGTGCTCGAGGAGCTCTAGGGGGTCGAAATGGGGGAGGGCTTTGCATCACGGAGAACCGGGCTTGAGTTCGAAATGCGAGCTCAGGGGGTTACTTAGCACCTGCCCACGACGGGTGATCAACGCCCGCAAGCATTCATCGCGGGGTTGGAATGAGAGCAGCATGTTGAGGTCGCAGCGAGGAGATTTGTTATTCATTGGGTTGCCTCCTCAGCGAATTAACGCTTTTGGAGTTGGTGTGCTTGGGTTGTCACTTTGTTTTAGGTTGGAAAATTTAATCAGAGCATCTTGCTGCTCGGGCGATTTTAATGGAAACTCGGTGCAGAAATTGGACTTTCGGACGTCTGCAGAGTGCCCGTCGACGTTGATTTCGCCCCTTTCTGGGTGTTCCAACCATGGGTCCGTAACGAGAGAATGTGAGTCTGTAGCAGGTGGTGCCCACGAGTGTACTTGTTGTGACGAAAATGGTGGTTTCGGAGGAAATGGCGGGGTAGGTTTGCTTGGTAATGGCGAAAATTTTATGGACAATAGTAAATTTGATGTGTTTATAGAAAGTGTTTCACAGTGTGTTCGAAACATGGGGAAGGCATTGGCATTGGGGGTGGTCATTGCTGCAGTAGGGTTTGGGCCTAGGGTGTTCTCGAAAGTTGCCATTGCAGCTCCTGCTGTTGCAGTCCGCAATGACGTAACAGAGGCCACGACTGAATTGGAAGGGGAGGAAGTGGAGGACAGTGATGATGAGTTGAGTGAGGTCAAGATTCAGCAGTTTCAGAGGCAGAAGGAGCTAGAGAAGCTTGAGAGGGAAAAATTACGTGTTGCTCTCAAGATCGACCAGAAGCTGGAGGAGCTTGAAGCTTTGGGAGAACAGGCCGAATGCGAACCTAATAAAAGAGCGATTTTCTTTCAAAAGCTTGAAGAGGCAGTGCGTATGACTTCTCTAGGGGCTCTCCAGTTACAGAGGGAGAAGGTTTTAGAGTTGAATTCTACCATCGACCAACTCATGAAAGAGAGAGACATCGCCGTTAAGAGGGCTGAGAGCGTGGAGGAAGAGGTTTTGTCTGCCCAGTCACAATTACAGAATTTTGATGATGGGTCAGACGATGGTAACTGGAAGCAAAGAGAGATTTTAGAGTCGTTAGTTAAAGATGCTGAAACTCGTTGTAGTGAGCTCTGGCAGAAGGTGTCGGATTTCGAGAGGGAAATGCTGGAAAAACAAATGTGGATTGAGAAGGCTCTTTTTGATGATCTTCCCAGCGTTGAAGATCAGGGTATGATCGAATATGAAAAGGTGTACCAACGACAGCTTCAAAGGCAGTCTGGTAGTAGTATGGGAGAAGAAGACGTTTCAAGAGTTATCAAAGACTTGGAATTGGCAGGTGAGACACATGGAAAGCAAGCACTGCTACCTCTTGCAGTTGGTGTGGAACAAGAATATAAGATGTCCGGATTGGAAGTTGATGCCGATACGCAGGAGCTTATTGATAAAATAAAAAATGAAATGAAAAGAGCAGTCGAATTGAGGGCACAGTTCGATAGTCAAGTCAGACAATGTTTAGGCAAAGGCGAAGACGAGGACATTGGCCACGTGAGAATCCCTGTTGATGACACAATGAACAATCTTTCAACTTCGGACCTTCTTATAGATACTTCTGAATTAGGAGAAGATATTCCGGAGGAAGGTCGGGATTACGTTAGGGAGAAACAGGTGCAGATCCTGGTTGCAAGAGACAGGGTATTAGCCGATACCTGGTACAATAAAAGGGAAGAATGTTGGGAAATGTCTCCGATGGCGGCCTCTTATTCCGTGACCAAGAAACTGGTTGCCAAGGCTCGTGTACGTCATGACCGGGGTATCATGTACTTGACATTGAAGGGCGATGATCGCGAATATCGTGTGGATATTCCAGCCCTAGACGCACAGCTTCATGAAGCAGGGGGTTTTGACTCCTTGTATATAAATATGTCCATTGAGGGAACTCCTGTAAGTACTGAGTTCATGTGGATACCACTGAAAGAATGGCCAGTGTGGGATCTCTTCCAGTTGCCGTTTAAGGTTATCTGGTGGGTGCTGGAGGACATTTGGAACTCACCTCTGTTGACCTCAATCAGGCCCTATTACTTTAAAACATTGGTTGAAACCTTCGAGGAAATAATGGTTCGGTTTGGGTTTCCAATAATTCAAGCAGTTCTGCCACTTCGGGCACGTGTCGCTCTGGGGTTCGACTTGCCTGAAGGGGCTGAAGAAGCTGAGCCTACTGATATTATGATTTGGCAGCAGGAAGCTCAAAAGAAGACTGATGCCCGATATGGTGAAGGTACTGGTTCTCCAGCATGGTGGATCTCTCTCCCACTTCGAACCTACGTCGTAGGCATTCCCCTCTATTTTTTTGTGACTATTGTTGGAGCACTCCTGTTGGCACCATTCACTCCTCGAAAGCTAGCTATGAACGAAGCTCAGTGGAAGGAGAAGAAACAGGAACAGCTGGAGAAAGAGATCAACAGGGAGTCTAAGAAAGATGAGATCGATCCTATCAAGAACGTATTTGATAAAATGAAGAGAGTGAAACACCCTCAGGTTAGACTTCAGGACTTCGCAGGTATTGACGCCGTGAAAGAGGAAATCAATGAAGTCATTAGTTTCTTACGGAACCCCAAGATCTTTCAGGAAATGGGAGCTAGGCCTCCTAGAGGTGTGCTCATCGTTGGTGGACCAGGAACAGGGAAAACGACACTAGCTCTTGCGATAGCAGCTGAAGCGAAGGTTCCTATGGTGGAGCTTCAAGGTGCTGAGCTAGAAGGCGGAGCCTGGGTGGGGCAAGGAGCATCCAACGTTCGTGAACTTTTCAAAACTGCCCGGGAGGTTTCACCATTAATTATTTTCATGGATGATTTTGATCATTTTGCAGGAGTGCGAGGAGCAACATCAGACACTCGAAAGCAGGATCATGAATCCCTGATTAATCAGCTCCTGGTCGAACTCGACGGTTTTGAAACCCAAGAAGGAGTTGTTCTTATAGCAACCACCAGTCGTCCCTATGCTATTGATGAAGCTCTGCGAAGGCCAGGACGCATGGATCGAACCATCCAGCTTCCAATGCCGAATGTAACTGAACGGGAGCAGATTCTGCGGAAAGTGGCTGCAGACATTATGGACCCAAAGCATGTAGATTATGTGGACTGGGCCGAGGTAGCAGATAAGACCGCAGGTCTCACACCCGCTCAGTTGAAGTGCGTGCCTCGGGCCTTGGAGGCAAACGCGGTTGGGTTAAAGCCTGTGGATGATGATGAAATTAACAGTGTTGCTGGCTGGCTTGCCACGTTTAACCAAATTCTGCCTATGTGGTTCAGAAGGACAAAAATGGTGGTCAAGTGGAATGAAGATCTGATCGATTGGCTAGGTCTGCGACTGTCCAAAGAAGATCTTGAAACTGCTGTTGAGACTATGGATGTTTTTAATGAAACCCGACCCGGAATCGAACTGGAGAATCCTCCTGTCATTTGGACACGAGAATACAAGTTCCCGCATGCAGTTTGGGCTGCTGGTCGAGCCTTGACTGCGTTCCTCCTTCCTAGTTTTGATCGTCTGGATCAGGCATGGCTTGATCCGAGTTCTTGGGAAGGAGTTGCTTTCACCAAGTTGACAAAACAGTTGGAAGCAGGGTATCAAGAAACAGGTACTATGACTCGGTCGTATTACGAAAAATCCTTGGTGTTGTGTTTTGGGTCTTATGTTGCTGGTCGACTGCTTCTTCCTTTTGGTGAAAATAACAATTTATCCAAAGGAGAGTTGGAGAATGCGGAGGGCATCGCAGCTGAGATGGTAATGCAATTTGGATGGGGCCCACACGATAGCCCGCTTGTATACGCCAAGGCTGGTTCTCCTACCTCAATTGCGATGGGTGACAAACATGAGGAAGAGGTTAAATCTGCTATACAGAAGTTATATCTCATTGCTACTGAGAGGTGCTACAACATGCTACACAGAAACCAAAGAACCCTCAGCGCAGTCGTCGAGCACTTGATTCAATACGACTGTGTTACAACGAAGGACCTGTCTAGGATATCAGATGAAACTGGTGCAGTGTTTGAAGAGGACCCTTTTGAATTGGTACCGTATTCACGTATGGAAATGTTTTCTGGGTCCAAAAATGGCACAACACGTGTAACAAAGGCATTACCAGCTGGGGCATCAGCTAATTAATCACAACAAAATAGTTCGAAGCTTCGATGGGCCATCTTGACAGACCAGTGAGGGCTACTGTACAACGACCATTAGTGTTCATGATTTAGATGCAGCGGTTTTGTAGGTGTAGGTTAAATAATAGAGCGCATTCAAGTTCATATGGTTGTGGTAGTTTGCCTGGTGATGGATTGTTGTCTACAATCAAAGTCAGTGTTTCAGTACGTGACTTGCTAGCTGAAGTCTCTGTTAATTAGACTTAGACTATTCTGACCTGGCGCGATAACCCTTTAGGGCATGATGGGTATGCCAAAGGTTTCGTGGCAACCAGTTGCAGTGCGGGACCGTAGGCCCAGTCTGCGTTACAGTCTAGGTTTGGTATTTCAAAATCTTAAAAAGTTGTCAGTATGTGCCCAACAATTGAGAGGGACACAGGAGAGATACGTGAGCATCAACCCATACAAACAATAATAGTCATACCTTCGTACAAAAGTGGTTGGACGAGGCACAATACATGAAGTCTCTTTTTGTGCTGGGTCGTCCTCCGGGCTCAGGTTCGCCATTTGTTCACTTGCCACAAGTGATACTTTCTTCCTTTCTGGGATTGTTATGACTTGGACAAATGAATTATAGATATTGTCTGCCTCCTTACATTGTGAAGCACATTGCACTGAGGGCTCACCTAACAAAACAAGAAACTCCTGCAAATTCTGCCGTGGTGATATTCAGTATCAATAAGGAGTGGAACGCAGCATCCACCAGAATTGTCATTAGTCCACCATATCAGAATTGATCGAAGCGTTGTACTAAGTGATAATGAGCTTGGTGGATACTACAGATTATTTTTTTGTGTTGTGAAAACAGTTCTTTTAGAACCAGTCAAGAACCTTTTCTTAGCATCTACTCTGAAATGGAGCATTTTGGAACACTTCTCATCAGCGAAAATCCTCTTTCAATTCAATTACCCCTACATATTCGTCTTGAAACTTTCACCTCGATGTTATTTGTCTAGATACAGTTCAAGGGAGGTCAATATAAAGCGCATCTCAACTCTTAAAGTGCACAGCATATACACTGTCGATCCTTAGGATCCTATGCCCTTGCCACTTCCACTGCTGAAACCAAACCTTTATCACTGCCGGATTTTGAAAGCACGCATCCTAGGACACGCGCCTTTTGGTATAAATCGCAGTGGTGCGGGTGTCTGTCTGTGATTCCCCAAGAGAAATTTTTCAACGTGCATTTCAAGTGGCAGTGTCTATGCGCGGCCATGTAACCCTAAACCCTAAACATGGAAATTATAAAATTCACTGACCTTGCAAGAGATAGTTGGCAAGCTATGGGAGAAACATATTCCCTTGGAGTGACGTAAACTTGAGGTTGTATGTGTTTTTCCTACGAGATTCGGTGACATTGCTTAGTAACCATTGTATCTACGGTTGTATCTGCGTCCCCAACTTGTTCTTGAACATGCTTCGGGTGAAGACCGTTTTGCATGTATACCTCGACTACACTACACAAGTTTTTATTCTGACGAATATGGGAAGCTGATCAGCGGATGCGCAAGTACTCGGCTGCACTCTTGACATGCTCTTGCTGGTGCTCCTTTTTTTCACACCTATGGCAAGTTGAGTACTCTGATTATTATATCTCTGCTCTTATTATTCCATCTATGTCCATTCCTGTTAAGTCCAGTGCATCTAGCCGTGACCAACTCCTCTCATACTATAATTGAAGGCACAGGCATGACAGCCCCTGTGAAAGATCACCGCGCTGCTTGTGGCACGCACAAGCACAGACCATCAGGTTCTGGGAATGCGTTCGTTGTCCCACTTATCTACTTTGTGAGAATTGTCACAACGCAGCAAACGATTATGTGGAGGAGGAGCTGGGTCATGTACATGACCATCCCCAACGTCCATATGCATATGAATGCGATTGCTGTGAGTCCCAGCCAATCTTCAGACGACGGTGGCGTTGCCAAGTGTGTGAAGATTTTGAACCCTGCGAAGAGTGTTATCATGGAGTGGACGATGCAGACATGCCTTCTGGACATTCGAAAGAGCACCTTATGACCGCCGTCGAGGGAATCCCGAATCCAAATCAAAGACTCATGGAACTGAGCTTTGCCAAACCAGTGAGTCCCCAGTGGGCATATCGGGTGGACGATATGGGAGTTCCGTTGTTCAGGTGGTCGCAGCGACAACACTTAGCGAACACTTTGATGAAGACTGTGAAGGATTTTGAAGCACTGCAAAGAGATGCTCTCCCAACTGCTACAACATCAAAGGAAGAGTTGAGTGACTCTGTCGTATGGACTGAGGTACAATATTTCACTATTTTGTGTTTTCTTTACAGTTGTCAATAAACTATGTCCTGAATTGTACAAAATATTACATCGGATAACTCAATCATTCATTCATTTTCTTTTCTGGTGGATTCTGGTGCAAGCACTAAAGCTTTTGAAAGACCATTGGCCTCAATATATATATATATATATATATATATATATGTTTAATTGTCGATAATGTTTCAGACAATCAGGCATCAATTGAGGAAGCAAAAACATATCTTCTCTTCCTTTTGCAGAGGAGAGTTTGGTTCTAGTAACTGCTCGAAGCATTGATATTTTGAAAAATCTCAAAATATCATCAAATGCATGCTTTAGGGTTCCGGCATTGAAAAAAACACGAAGCTTTTGCACTATTCAGCTATCATGCAGGTTCTGACTTATCAAGTCTTTCTAATAGAGAGATGAATGCATTAGGGAAGGTTGTGGAACAGTGTTGTTTTAAAGTTGACATATCTACATCAGAATATCATCCACTTGCTTTGAAGGTGTTGGGTGTCCGAGTTGGCCCCGTTGCACAAGAGTGGCAAAAGTTTGATTTCAAGCAGTATACCAAAGAAAATATACATCCCATATTTTCTATATTAAGATCAGGGTACGATGCCTTGCGTCCACTATATCAGAGGATGTTTATAGATCTTGCAGTATATCAAGCTGACTGGACTAGTCATGCATATTTTTATAACGTATGGCGGTATGTGCACGGTGAAAGAGATGAAGATGCTCTCGTGAAGTTGGTAAGTTTATCCCTTTCGACTTTTGAAAATTACATTTTATACATGAATTACCAACGTTTGCAGAAAGAAATGTTTATTTTATATCATATATTTAGAACAATCAACCTTTACTAGTATCTATGTAACGAAAAGTACTACATACGATACTAATTCCTAATGGCATACATTTTCTGCAGCTCAAAGAGCTTCTAGTAAAGTCCCTCATTGAACACTGTGATCTTAACTCTGGAAAAGTATACATCCATGACCTGTGTCGTGACTTCATACAAATGGAGGTTGAAAGCGAGGTCAAACACAATCCAAGATGTTATCTGTTTCAAACAAACAATCAACGTTATTTCCAAGCATGCAGGCTTCGCATTCAGCATCAAGGAATCACTGAACTAACCGAAGGGATCTTGTGCACGTGTTCAAAAGCGGAATTGTTGTCTTTGGAAGAATGCGACTATCTAAGACTTGTAGACGTTCGTGGTATGTCGAATTTGGCACTTCTTCAAATAAACAAATGTCCTCAGCTGACGAGTATTTTTGTAGAAGGTGTTAAAACCCTTCGATCTATTTCTTGGGATGGATTTCAAGGAGATTATCCAAGCTTAACTGGTTCGGAGTCATTGGAATCATTGGAACTAAAATCAAACAAGGACTGGCCGAATATTCCTCCGACCAATTCAGATCTTTCATATTGTTGCAACCTTGAAAATCTTCATCTGTCAAACATACCGCTTTCTCAAGAAATGGCGAATATAAACTCCTTGGTGAAGCTTAGAAGACTATCGATTGGCAACTGCCAACAATTGAAAAGAGTTTATGGTCTTGAAGCTGCAAAATTCATACAAGTCATTGTACTAGAAGGTTGTTCTTCTCTTCTAGAGTTTCCTTCGTTGGTGAACTTTCGATTCCTTCAGTACTTTGTTCTCAGCAATGCTACTGTTCTGAAGAAATTACATGGAATTTCTGGTTTTTCTCTTACCCATCTCTTATTAAGGAATGCCACACAACTTGAAGACCTCCTTGGAATTCAAGCATTTACAACTTTGAAATATTTGAACTTATCCAACACTGGTATCGAAGACTTCTCATGGATTTCCAACATGAAAGAATTACGTGTAATCAATCTTTCTGGGACGAGATTAAAAATATTACCCAACCACAAACATCTGCACAAGCTTGAAGAACTTCAACTAAACAACTGTGTGGCTTTGGAGGATTTGGACAAGGACTTTGACATTTCACCGAGTCTACGGGAGTTCCGGATGTGGAATTGTCCGAACTTGAAAACATTGCCTCAATTCAAGATATCAAGCTTGATTTATTTATGTATCTGTGATGCGAAGGTAGAAGACATTTCAGGTATTCAACATTGTCTGCACCTTCAGAAGATTGATTTTGACATATTACCAGTAAAACATCTACCAGATTTGAAAATTTGGCCGTGCTTGAAAATATTTACTGTGCAGAAATGTCAATTGTTGACAAGATTGGACAATGTGAAGAGCTTACCGGCACTAGAGATTCTTATGGTAATTAATTGTGCAAGCTTAATTGCTCTACCTGACCTTAGTAGCTCCCAGGATTTAATAAATAGCTACATTAATGTCTGTCCCTTATTAAATCTAAATTTGGTGAAGCTACCGGATTACAGTTTTTTTTACCACCAACACGCAAGAAAATAGCGATGCAGAATATGAAAATGGTGTCCACACATCAACCGTGGATTATGGTCATCAAAATCTTTTTGTACATAGAGGCCTTCAGACTGTTAAAACCCATTCTAGTCACGATGGTGTACAATTTTCGACATTGATTTGGATAGTGTTTGGGGCAATTAGTTGCATGATATGGTATTTTATTATGAAATGCCAAGACATGGAACCAGAATGGAGTTCAAACGAGCTGTATCCCACTTGAAGAATTTTATGTGGGCGGGAATCGATCAACGATCCATAGCTAGAGTATCTTGGAACACATGTTGCAGAACGCTCAAGGGAGATGGATTGAATTTGATCAACCTCAAAGAAGCTGAGATAGCTCTCTTGTGCATTAAGTGTATCATCTCTGCATGTGAACCAGGTGAATCTGCCCTGAAGAGCATGCTCAGATATTAGATTGGTTGGCACAAGGCAGGGACATAAGGCTGAATGCAAGCGAAACCATGCATTCAAACTACATATAAGCATTCCTTTCAAATCATAAGGCAAGGCAGATTCAGTAGTTTTAGTTGATATAAATATATCAAGCAATAAACAGTGATTGATTTCTTGCTATATTTAGAAAGGGATACAAGGTTGAAGCAAAATGTTGCAAAATACAGCTTTCTAAACCTGGTCCCTGTGAATGCACTCGAAGTCCGAAATAAATTGAAAGGGCCAAGGGTACATGGGGGCACACATGATTTATTTAAGTTTGTTTTATGGTCACAAGCAACTTTTTAGAGTTTATAAATTTGCACTACATTTAATGACATTCATCAAAGGAATGAAGGCCCAACAATACTTTATTATTATGTTGGAATTATACAATGTAGCACTAAGCATCATTTCTATTTGAGGACATGTTGTAACTTACAAGTTTGTCACCTAGCCACTCATTACCTTTTTTACAAAAATCTACAAGTCTCTACTCACTTTCCTAGAAAACAATTCTTTGCACTAATTCTTTGTGCTAATGAACATAGATTACTTTTATTGTTTCCATTTGTAATGTAAGATACATCACTTAGGACTGTTGGCACCTTTCCTGATCCAGCTTGTCAAGACCATCACACGTGGCACTTGGGAATTGATACCTGGATCCCCGCTACCCGACATCACCAGCTTTTGGAATTGATACCCGGATGAGGTAATCAAGACAAAGGACTTGTGACCGACCAGCCCGGGTTTAGGGTTTAAGAGATTCTGTGCTCACTCAGAGCCAAAACCATCACTCTGGTAGACAGAAACCCGCAAGGGCTTGCATGCGAAGCTCGAATTGCATAACCTTGGGCAGGTGCAAAACCTTGCGAAGAATCATGGGGTCGGAGAAAGAAGCGGAGAAAGTGGAGACGAAGAATTTGCCCAACAACGGAACTATGATCACTCCCGGCTGCGCTGTACTTTTGGACATCAACAATGGAGACAAGATGACATTTGCTCACCTGAATAAGAATGCGTAAGTGCTTCAGATGTTGCAGGGGTCGTTAAAGTAGCCAGGATTCTCTTCGAGTTTTCTTCTGGGATGATTTTGGAGTGGAGGTTTGGTTTTTTTAGAGTTGGGTTTTCTGTGGGTGGAAGGTTTGATGGGAGGAGGGTACGTCAATGCTGGTTGAGATTTGAATCATGTGTGCAGAATGTGGTAGAATGCGGTAGAATGCGGAATATGGACGGCGTTGTACGATGCGGTGGTTCGTTGGCCAATGTTTTTTTCTGGGTTTTGCGAGTGGATTTTTGCTGATTGCCGTGAGATTCATGATTGAGGGGGTTCACGATGGGCGTTCGTTTGGGTTTACAGAAGTGTGAAAATTGGTAACACCAAATGCTGGCTGGATGCTCTTGTTGGACACCCGTTTGGGTCCGTTTTTGAAGTGCAATCTGGTGCTAAAGGAGGTTCCTTTGTTCGAGTTTCGCCGTCTGGTGCAGGTTAGTACTACTCACTCCCCCCCCTCCCCTTTTTTTTTTCTTTTCTTTTTCTTAGTCAGTAAAATTTCTTTTTACTAAAGAATGCATTTTTGTAACATTGGATTGCAGTGCACTGTGTGATGGTCTTGAGCTATTGGATTTTTTTTTTTACTTCTCATTTCTTGAGCAACTGTCGATGTTTAGATCTTCGTGATGGGTTAGGAGAGAAAGATGATGGAGAAGAAGCACCAGGGGATGAAGTCAAGGGTAAAGATAATCGATCGCTGATTGATAATAATACTGCTCAGACACTTTCTGCCGAAGACATCAGCAAGATGCGCACGTATGAAGTCACCGCACCTGATTCTGTTGAAGTTGTGCGTACAAAATATGATTTGGTTCTGCAATAGTGTAATTAGATCTCACCGTGGTATAATGCAGCATTCTATTCAACTGTTTTTAGACTGAAGGTTTTGATATGCAGTGAAGGGGTCTCTGGAAGGGCGATAATGGAGGCTTTGGTTGCAAATAGTGCTACTTTTCACACGAAGACGGCATTCTCGCAGGTGTCATTTGTTGCTATACTCGAGAATTTTTCCATATGCTGCTTTATTGATGGAGCTGTGAGTGTTGTTAATATCGAGCTTAGTGACAAGTTGTACTGAACCTGGAGTTGAGCGTTTCTAACTAGTTCTTCCGACTGGCAGGAAAAGTATTTGCGGAAGAAACAGAAAAAATATGCACCAAGGGTAGTCGTTCGACGGCCGTCTGCTCGAAGGTTAGATTTTTCAAAACTTATATTTTCGTCCTGGTCAACGTATTGTTAGAATTAATCACGAGTTTCCTTAAATAGATGTATTGAAATATCACACTAAGTGCTTTAATATCTGATTCAAAATTAAGTGTTGTAAGTTTATCTGAAGCTTATACTCAGATTTTTTGGTCTGATGGGCTAATCTTAGGTGAAACGTAAGGTTTATTTTGGGCTATTCTGATAGATTTTCACCTGCGTTTTTGAATAGTGTATGTGAGGCTTACTTCGCTAAAGACCCCAACAAAACTGGGTAAAGTATCTGTTGCCATCTCACTTTTATTTATGATTGCTTTCTGGTATATTTTTGTGTGGTATGGGCAATTGTGTTCATGTATTTCATACTAAAACAAGTATCCAATTGGCACTTTGTGGTCGATGTTAATCTCTCTTTAATCTATTTTTTTTCTCTTTTTTCTTTCGAGGGGGGTAATTTAATGTTGTCTGATTCACTTTGTTTCAGACACCTGCGAATGGACATGTTGTCACTCATACTTTCCCTTGCAAATGTTGGGGGTTATGCCGAAGTTCTTGTACTGGACATGCTTGGAGGCCTACTCACTGCCTCTGTAGCTGAACGATTGGGAGGTAATGTGGTTTCACTGATTTGTCATTCTTGTATATCGTCAATGGAACTTTTTATATTCACGTTGTCATTTGTGTTGTTTTAGCTTTGCTTTGTTCCCCTACACGTAAATCCCTCAATTTGAACTTTATGCGGAGATTAGCTAAGTAGAGCAGTGGTTGGTCGCGGTGTAGGCTACGGTTTTGTCTGCAGCACATACCACACAAGCAAGCCACAAACCATAGATATGGTGCGCCTCTTCAATTTTGATGCATCTACATCCAGCAGGTATTTCATGTTCAGTGTCTTTCCTCTACCACTATCTACGAGTTCCATGTTCAGTCGAACATTATTTTACTTGGCTGTTGGTGACCAAACTCATAGACTTGACGTCAACTTTTTTCTGGCTTATGGTTTTCACACTTAAATACAAGTTGATCGAAGTCTTCTGTTGTGCGTGCAGGGTCTGTTTAGTCAGGTGCTTTACTTAATTGGTCTGTCCAATGTTTCAGGGTGGTGAGAGCTCCTGCATCACAGCTTATTGCCGCCAGAACTGCTGCTTCAAAATTTTCCACCGACTCTGCTTTGCAGGAAACGGATGGGGAAGACTGTATTCCTATAATATTGAATGAAGCTAAAGCCGTGTCAACAAGTCGTAAGTCCCTTATCCACGGGTCATTAGTAGTTGTCAAAGCTGTACAGTCTTCTGTCGGAGTTGACTATTTCGCCCTTGCGAGAGCCTTTAAAAAGAATCTAGAGTTTAATGGTCAAACGTTAGTTTCAGGTTTTAAGAGATGTTTTTTGAGTCTTTTTAAGGGAATGCTCTTATTTCTTTTGACCTTTTCGTTGCGGATCAAGCGACCCCAGACTTTTCGAAGTGGTGTTGCATGAGCTGAACGATCCTTTTCGTGTTTAAGTAAGATTAGTCTAGTCAACCCAACGTTGGGCAACAAGATTTAACAATGTCTGAAACTATAATGAGGCTAAAGGCTGGTCGGTAGAGAGAGGAAAGGTGATAAATTACTCAAACTAGAGCATGTTTTTTAGCTAACGATTGTCTACTGGTACATTATTTTGGTGTATGTGATACGAGTTATTTTGTAGTGGAGGCAATTAAAGTGTGCGCTCCTTGTAGTGACTGATTATAAGGGTGGTTGTAATTGCAGCTATCGTCGACTTAGAGGATACACCTAGGCTTGAAAGTGAGCATACAGCTAAAAGGAGGGCTCAATCAAGATCAGATGATTTCGAACCCGGCAAGTCAATAAAACCTGGTAGACTCGCTTCAGAAGAGGACATGAAGCGTTGGGGACGTGAAGGGTTCACCAGGTAGGTTTCCTTCTATGATCTTTCAAAAACAATTACAGGAGAATAATCATTTCCTTGAATCCCTCAATATTATAAGATCACTTGTTACCTGACTCTTATGGTGAAGTAAGGATATAATCAATGTTGACTTAATAACTTTGCAGGTAGATTGGCCTCAAGTTGGACTTAGCAACCTCCTTTTAGCTTCAATTTTTCTCACTCGAAGGTCTAGTTGACTAGTTTGGCGTGGTTGTGATGACAGTTTGATAGTAGGAGCTCCATTCTTAGATCCGTGGACAGTGGTGAAGAAGCTTTTACCTTTACTGGCTTCCTCAGCTCCTTTTGTTATCTATCACCCATATTTGCAGGTATGACCTCTCAAGACTTGGTGCAATTTTAGTTAGGATGTGAAAAAAGATTGTCATAAGGACTTAGGCATTTCAGACTTTCTTGTAGTGTCCACATGACGTATTCCAGCTTAAAATTTATATGGGTGATCTCTCTACATCGATTTGAGTGACTAATGATCAGCTTTTTTTGCAGCCTCTTGCAGAATGTATGAATAAGTTGCAGTCAGAGCGCATCGCAGTTGCTCTGCAACTTCAGGAGCCTTGGCTCCGTGAATACCAGGTGTTTTTCTTGTCTTTAAAATTGTGGGTTTGTGGGAATGATTCTGTTATGTTGGCTTTCACGCTCATTAATAAGCTTTGGAGCAAAATCTGAGTTTTCTGATTTCTCATGCCTTCAGCTGTTGTGACTTCGAAATTTGTGAGGTATATCAGCATAATCTTATTCTGATGTACTGCTTGTTTGAAATTTCTTTGAACAATCCTTACTGCTTAATGCAGGTTCTACCTTCACGAACTCATCCAAACATGCAGATGAGTTCCACTGGAGGGTGGGCTCTCAGTGGCATCTACATTAGCAAGACCTGAAAGGTGAAGCTGAGTACTCGATGAAAGAAAGGAGCAATTGAAGACCTCAGCAACCATAGAGATGCTCGTGTTAACTTGAGCCCAGATCCTTCAAAGCCATTGTGCTTACATGTTATGCGCAAAATACGCTCCAAGATATCTTGCCTTGGTTGCGAGATACAACGTATGAATCCAAATGAATCTTGCAAAGATAGTGAGCTTGGGTTCTTGCCTCATTGTTTCGCTAGCCTTCAAAATACAGAGTTGCTCTGTAGCACATTGTGGTGAACCTGCTGCACTCTGTCTGAAGAAATATTGAACTTAAACTCGCAGATTGCTTGCAACCAGCATATCATGCGGACTTAGTGCCTCGTTTGAGGTAGAAATGTTCAAGTAATCGATTTTTCAGGAGATTGTAATTCACCAACTCCTGTGAATGAATTGATACATTTATTACACATTGGGTACTTGAATGTGACCTTTCGGCACTAATCGTTAATTGCTAGTTAGTTTATTACTTAAAGCTTGTACACGAACCACTTCCACCTTCCATTCATCTTCTCTTCTTCTATGACCACTAAGAGAAGCCAAATTGATGGTGGAAATGTGTCGTACTACAAGCTTTACGACTTAAATAACTAGCAATTAAAGATTAGTGCAGTAGTGACCAATTTTAATCTTCAAGATACAAATTGTCGCTCCCTATCCCATAAATTCGCCATGTATATTCCCCCT